CCCCCCTCCCCTCTAGAACCCTCAGTTTGTTTTTCAGAATCCATAGTCTCTCATGGTTCGTCTCCCCCTCCGATTTCCCCCCCTTCATTCTTCCCCTCCTGCTATCTTCTTCTTCTTCTTTTTTTCTTAACATATATTGCGTTATTTGTTTCAGAGGTACAGATCTGTGGTTCAACAGTCTTGCACAATTCACAGCGCTGGTGAGGATACATTTTTTCAGTATCCTGTTTCCTTTCTTAGTAAAAGGGCTGCTTTTCAGCTGTTGAAGATGGATCCTATGTTCTAAATGCTAACCCTTCCCTCTAGCTGGATCAGGATATAATAAAAACATAAATGAATATATTTTTGTAGCTTTTTGGATACTTCAGTGTTTTCATAGGTCTGCAGGTTTGTTTTGGTAGAGAAAGGAAGTTCATACTAAATTTCAGTGTGTCATCATATTTTTGGAACATCATATTTTTGGAACCATTTTTAATGGTGTCTTATTTGGGCTATGAAATTACTTGTGCAACTTCACTAACTCTGTTGGTTTGATTTTGAATGGCCTAAGCACAGTGTTGCCTTGAAGCAAAATAAATAAATTAATTAATTAATTAATAATAATGTAAATAAATAATAATAATAATGTAATGACATGACCCGTTTCAGAAGCTTCTGGACATACGTAAGTAGTAGTAGTTGCACATTCTGAAAACCTTTACAGAATTAGTCATGAAAAGTTTTGTGAGGGGCACCTGGGTGGCTCAGTTGGTTAAGCCTCTGCCTTCGGCTCAGGTCATGATCCCAGGGTCCTGGGTATCGAGCCCAACATCAGGCTCCCTGCTCAGTGGGGAGCCTGCTTCTCCCTCTCCCTCTGCCTGCTGCTCTGCCTACTTGGGATCTCTCTCTCTTTCTCCCTCTCTCTCTGTTGAATAAATAAATAAATAATCTTAAAGAAAAAGAAAGGTTTTGTGATACTCATTAGAGGGCTGTCTAATAAAATCTCAGATGGGTTTTAAATGGGTTTCTTTCCCTGTCCATTTTTGCCATTCTAACTGGTGTAAGGTGGTATCTCAGTGTGGTTATGATTTGGATTTCTGTGAACCTGGTCACGTAGCCCTCTGTGTGAGCCTAGTCAGAGGAGTCAGGGGCCTCCTATCTCTCCCTGCCTGGACTTTAACCCTTTCTTTAATCACAGTTATTACTTAGAAATGAACAAAAGAAAACTTTGTGACATTTGCAAATGATCGACTAAGTTTATAAATTGAGTTCATGAATTTAAATGTTTTTAAATTCTATTTTTCTGAATTAAAATCGTAAAATACCAAGCAAGAATTGAGTCAAAAACATGAGCTTATATTTTCAAGGGAGTTGTTGGCCCCCTTTGAAAGTACCTACATTTTTTGTGTTTATGAAGAATTATCTGATTTAGTGAGGGTAGATTATTTTGATTATTCCATTATGAATTACTTGATTGAATGATGAAGCCAATCACTTAGGGAAAAAGCAAACTTGGAATATTACTCCTCTAATAAAAACAATTATAAAAGACTTGAGAATCTAGGAAATAGACCAGAAACTTGTGACTTGTCATCATTACCAAATTAACCCAATAAGAATTTAAAAGTTCTTTCTATCATACCAATATAAATTGCCTTTGCTCAGTACTGTGAAATTTCGAGGGCTGAGATGAAAAGCAGTGCATAGTGTCTACAGGTTTTTCCCCTGGCTCTTAGTCTAATAGTCCAGAAGTGGCTGTTTTTGCTATCACCTTGGCTGATTATGGGGTAATTCATTAAAATTAGAGCAAACATCCAGGATGTTGAACAACAGAACTTTCAAATTCCTTAGCTCGTGCACACCGGCTAGTCTCACTGGTAGTCTACTGCCTCCTGCTGCTGCGGCCTAGAAGCCTCCTCTGGTCTTTCATGACTTGTATTTCTCCCCCTAAAAACCAAGCACCAGCACCTGCAATGCATAATCATAGAGGCTCTGGATGGAAAACCACCAAGACATCCCAAGCTAGACATCCCCACCTAGACATCCCAAGACATCCCAAGCAAGACATCCCATTCTCTCCAGGTGTGGCTTTTTAAAAAGAGATGTTTGGCTTCCCAGAAACTATTTATTTTGACCCTTGAAATAGAGATTTACCTTGTCAGCTCACTGCTCTATTAAGGGATACTTTCCCATTCCAGGTGCTGGGCAGAGAAACTGGGAGATTATGCTGTGGACTGTTCTACCATTCAACTCTGTGCCAAAACTGGGACATTAAACTTCATCTTCCTGTCCTCTCTCAGAATGTGTCGCCTGATTTTATAAATGGCCTATTCCTCAGAGTATTTGAATTTTTAAGTTTATTATTATTATTATTATTATTATATCACATTTGGTTTCACAGTCATCTACACAATTCTTTTAGGAATTTGAAGAAAGTGTTGGCAGTCCAAACAGATCTGGGAAGCATGAACATTAGCTACAGACTGTATTTTATTATTTATACAGATTTGATTTATACCTATAAATGAAGTTACATTTGCATATACAAATAGAAAATGCATCCCAGCCTGAAGAAGTAATTAGAACGTGAAGAAAACACGGAGCAGCTTTTGGGTGAACACACCCGAAGCTACATTATCAATCCTTCTTCAGTGTTTCCACATACGACACTCAGCAGATACCTGCAGCATTACACCTATGACAGTGTCTTATGGATAGCTAAGCAACTAAAAGGACACACACCACTCTCACCTCTAACAGTGACTGAATGTTGAGAAAATAATTTCTCACTCTATCTCCACGTTACAAACAGAGATTAGAGGAAAATCTCCTAGAGAAATACCAAGTTCTTCTGGTCCTCAAAAGAGTCAAAAATATCCTTTCATGTCAGATTTTCTCCTGAGTCTTTGGGTAGCCACAAAACAAGCATTAATTTAGAGGTGGCCATTTAATTTAGCCCTATTGCTTCAAGATCACTAGGCCCATGACTATGAAAACTGAAAGAAGATCATAGGTTGTTTATATAGAATAAAATTAGAAATGATCTGCTGGGCCATTGAAAATGGCTTAATGTGTGAACCAGTGTGTTTTGACCCCAGTGTGTTCTACTTTTAGTCCTAGTCTTTGTAGATTATTGAAAATCATGCTAAGATATATTTTGAGAGTACTGAGGGGAGATGTACTTCATTTATATTTTATATATCTTGAAGGAGAGAGAAAAAAACCATGTTATTACTTCAAGTTACTGGTTCAGCAAGACTAACATACCTGAGGAATGAAACATTACATTTGCTTTGGGATCACCTTGCTAAATTTGACCCTCTCTTCAGTTCTCTGCTTCACAATGAATTCTCAATTTTAAAAGTTAATGATGTCCTCTTCTTGTCCAGTTTTACTACCAGAATACCTGCCCTGAGGAAAATAGCGTTAATAACATGTCCTTCACATCTTTCTCCACATATAAGCAAACGTATACAAGCGTGATTACACATAAACTGCTCAGCATGTGGCCTCGATTATACCATCGACCTTAGCTTCAGATAACAGTCACTATGCCCACTGTCCCAATGCCATGGAATCCTCACCAAGGGGACTAGCTCACTTGCTCTTTTAATATATGATGGAGGGTTGGCTATTTTGCCAACACGGTAGACCTGCACCAACATAATGGTCACTAGAATGATCTCAGTCCAGTGGTTTCCAACCTTAGCTGAAAATTAGAATCATAAAAGTAGCTTAAATTTTTTTTCAATAACCAAACCACACCCTTGATCAATTAAATCAGAGTCTTAAGAGGTGAGATAATCTCAGGCACCAACATGTCTTCAAAGCTCCTCAGTATAATTTCAGCATACAGCATGATTTGAAAACTATTTCCACAAAGCAAGATGGGTCAAATTGTGAATCACCTGTCTACCCTGACCACCCCAACCAATCTCCTCATTCAGGAGTTGTTAGACAAGGTTACAAAAGTGAAATAGCTGAGGTTTGAATTACTTTTGACCCAATTTTGACCTTACCTGACCTA